TATATATATATATATATATATATATACATATATAAACATACACACACACACACACACTTGTTGCAGGGACACTACACACACATATATATATATATATATATATATATATATATATATATATATATATATATATATGTGTATGTCTGTATGTGTGTGTTTGTAAATATATATATATACATATATATATGTGTAGTGTCCCTGCAACAGGCCTTCCAAATGTAGGGTATCATTATTCTGCCTAAAAATATCAATATGTGGCTTTTGGTCCATATCGCCTAGCCCTACGTATCACCCACCCCGCCGCTCTGGTGCAGACACTGTTGCCGCGGTGACCGTGCGGCGATCGATCGTGTGTTCTGATGTTGTGGAGAGAGGCTATCAGCTCGTATTTCCTCCTGCTTTCATGATCTATGTTATCGAGTCTCTATATAGCAGGAGGAGGGACACACCCCTGTCAAACTCCCCATTTCGTGGGGGAGGGGGTCCTTTGCATTTACACTGCAGCTGCGTAAGATGAATATCACGAGTTGGAACTTTGTTATTATTCTTATGAAATGAACTTTAATGGGCTAGACATAATTAAATGGTTTGCTGATAATCTGATCTTGTGCTATCAGGTACATTTCTGTGGTTGACGGAAACTTGATTATTATCCCCGAAATAATGGCCTGGTCCCACTGTGGTGCCGGCTATCAACAGGCAGACCTTGCTGGACTGATGCTGCTCATCCTAGGCATCATGTTTATATCAGTGCACCCTGAACGCAGGATGAAAAGTAACGTGGCAGTAGCTACAGTCTGTACTATGCCAGCGTGTCTTTACGCTCAGCAGAAAACAAATGTCCATTCCAGTAAGAAGAGAGGCCAGGCCTTCCTGGAACCACGAGCTATGAAAGCGTGTCAGTGCTCTTTGTCACTGTGACCGGTGTGTTTGTTCACAAATTCCTGCCCCCGCGAGCAGCTGCTCTCCTCCCCGACAAGAAGGCGGCTGCTTTCTCTTCAGAGAGAGTGCTGGCTCCTTGCTTGAAGGTCCGGCTATGAGCACAAAATTCACAATGATTTGCTATTGAGAAATACATGAAGAGTCTTTTACCAGGGGAGCTGAGTGGGCTGACAGCATATCAGAGAGCACAGCTGTCCTTGTATTCTTGTACCTTGACATTTCGTGTGTGTGACACATGACAGCGCTTACGATGGCCCATACGCATGGCTTGTATCCCGGTTTCTAACTGAACCTGCCCAGCCTGCTTATTACTGTACTCTGTGTTTATCTGAGATTGTGTTCTGTGGCCTGTACTACGAAGCAGGATTACTGGCTTATTGAGGTAACTTGTCGGATTTAAGGTACCACAGTTTAAATGGACTTCATATTTGTTCGCTTTTTGCCCAGACTACCTTAAATCTGACAAGTTACCCAGATAAGCCAGTAACCCCGCTTTGTAGTACAGGCCCCTCGCGATGTTGTTGTTTTCAGTCCCAGATATGTTTTTTGAAAGATCCTCCCTTCCTGTCTAATCACCATGGAAATATCGGCTTTTCAAAGTGTGTTTTGGGAAATGGTGGGCAGATTTGTGGGCGTTTCCATTTTTCACCAAAATCTTTCCCCAGGACCGTTGCTGTGTTCACACCAAGGAGAGGTGTGATCCAGCACACTCTCCATGCAGAGTGTTTGTGAAAGTGGGGCTAAATACTCCCTACACTTAACTCACTGCTTCCTGATTGCTCTAAGAATTAGTTTAACATAAATTATTCTTTACTCTTTAGTCTTATTACCTCAAATATTACCTTATTACCTTGGATTCTATCTTATAAATACCATTAATTGTCTACCAAGCAGCCTGTTCATGATTTTTGTAGCAATAATTCACAAAATAGAAAATAAGCAGCTAAGCAAACGTTAGTAATGACCGCACGCTATATCGGTGTGAAGCAGATTTCCTGAAATGTAAAATACCAACATCATTTGAGCACAGGCCTGTAAACTGATTCATTTCTAAACTGCCTCCAACAAATGGAAGGAACATTTTGTAACTTTCAGAAGAGACGCCACTGACTTTAGTTTAAGGAATTCGAGTTTTCCTAATATACGTTTCAAGGTTGTATGTTTGGTTTTGACATTGGTAGGGACCAAATCAGCCCCCAAACACATGGTACGCCTACAACATTGGTAGGGACATGTCCCTACTGTCGATACCCAAATCTATGCTCAATTCTGTACACATTGAAAACTATTTTTACATTTAGTATCCATTATTGTCCACAAGGTGGCAGCAACCTGAGACGGTACCAATGTGAACAAACATCCTGTTTGTTGCTTATGAAATTAGGTTAATAGTTTAAAATAAATTTGGTGTAAATGTTTTGACAGTTGCGCTTAAACTATGGGCACTGTGAAAATAAGGCCTTTATGCTGTAAAAACTCATACACCATGATATTAAAAAACATGATTTAGTTGACAAGCAGCCTTGTAAGATAATTATCTATCTGTCCATTCATCTTCAAATAGCTTATTCTGGTCAGGGTTCCCGGGCAGCACAGGGCACAAGCCTGTGGAACACCCTGGGCCTGATGCCAGTCCATGGCTGAGGGAGGTAATTATCTAGTATTTTCAAATTATGTAGTTAGTCATGGTTTTCCCAGAATGCTCTGAATGCTAGTAGATGTGAGAACACTATTCAGAGTGAATAAATTAGAAAAACGTATTATATTTAAAGTAGTGTCTCATTTATATGGGTAGTATTATCATACAGTCACAGGAGTGCATTAAATTACTTTTTTTGTTTAATTACAGACATTCATCACTTAATGATGAGTTCCACTCCTACAACTAAGTCGCTAATTGGCTATTGTCGATAAGCAAGGAGCCGAAATTTCAAGCATACTGTACTGGAAGTGGGTTTATGTCAGCCATCTTTAGATATTGTTTTAATGTCACCTTTGCACCATTTATAACATCTTAATATGTTTATAAATTAGTGTATCGTATACTGCAATAAACAGAATAGAAGAAATCAGCTGTAATATTACTTAGGTTTGCGCACTGCACAGTGTACAATACCCGACTGATCTGAGAGGTGGTTGTAAGTCCGGAAGCATGTTAAACAGGTAAGTCGTTAAGTGAGAGGCGTCTGTAATTAATTTTCTAAAGTTTTTTTTCGGTACGGTGGGAGCTACAGTATCCTATGTATCAATATTACATT